ATCTCCAGAATCGCGGGCTTGCGACCCTTGAACCAGTCTTCACCCGTTTCGTACTGCTTGTCCTCGTACTTGGCCTCCTTGTACTCGAAGAGCATTCGGAAGACGGCGCCCAGGCCCCGAATCTTCCAGTAGCCGAACTCCATGGGGGCCGCGCTGGCGTCGCTCTTCGAGTATCCACCCGACATGACTCAGAAACACGCGTCGGGGCTCTAGGATCACTTCACGAGCCAAGGGACTGATCCACCGCCGATTCTCTGGCAATTACCCCCGAATCACTACATTGCTACATTGTCACGAGATGCTTCCCAGAGTATGCCAAGCCTGCCTAGCACCACCGTACGAGACGGTCGACCCCTGCGGAGTCGACTCTCAGGGGTCTAATTTAAAAAAAATTACCTATACTATTTTTTGGGGGTTCCTTATTATAACTATTGTATAATGCGCCCCAAAACCCTATTCTAATTATTATAGGGCCCTTTTTTTGAAACCGGACTTGATGACCGCCAGCACTGCCTCCTCTGCCGTTGTTCAGCCGAGGCTCGAAAACGTTAGCACACAAACACTCATTATAGGGCCCTTAAACCCTAAACCCTTATAGTAGACCTTATAGAACCTTTTAAAGGAACCCCCAAAACCCTATTCTAATTATTATAGGCCCCTATAAACCCTAAACCTTTATAGTAGCCCTTATAGAGCCCTTAACCCCCAAATTGCCAAAACCCTATTCTAATTATTGCTGGACTTCTGGAAAACACAAAGAGCCGAGCCCAAGTCCGGAAGGCCCTTAGCGGCCGAAACCCTCAAAGCCTTAATGTACTTGGAGGGTCATGGGACTTTTTTTGCCTCCTACATGGCTGAGCGAGTCGCGAAGCAGGGTTATAGGTTACATGTCGGTGAATTCAGCTCCTTCATATTGACAGAGCTCTTTTCATGCACAGGCCGCCCTCAATGTAAGAGAGAGGTAAGCAAGTACGCGCAGCAAAATGCCGCTTTTCCAAAGTTGCAGCTGTTTCCCAGCGTATCTCACGATTGCCATTTACTAATTAAGTAGAAGGTTGAAAGTCATGCAGGTCTTTGCATGCAGGCACCGCAGAATCATTACATCAGGCCATTATTCCATGCATCTGGACACTTGGTATGCAATGATGCAAGTAATTACGCGCTCAGACTTGCAAGCCTCTGTTTTGTGACTCTTTCCGACATAAACCAAGAAATCCAAAGATTCCCTGGTTTCCATCGGTCAACTTTTTGCAGCAATCCAAGTGAGGACCAGATTTGTTTGACATGCAGAAGCACGTATCATGTCAGGTCATCATCCTCGCTCTTGCTGCATCGGTCCACTTACAGGTGGAGACAATTATGTCTCGACATGCAGGAAGCATGCATCATACGTCAGTTTATCTCCACCAATGTTTGCAGACAAGGCCACTCCATGTCGCTTCTCACTTCTCATGATATGTGCCACAGTCTTTCACAGCATTGTGAACAGAACACCGACAGCGATGTTGGTTACCAACTGCCAAAATAGTTGTTGTTTGATGCAATGGTTTGCGCCATGGGACTTAGTAAGTAAGGTTATAAGTACCCTAATTGGGGTTATAATTATAGTTACCTTATTTATAACCCTAGTTACTAAGTCCCATGATCCTCCAAGTAGGGGCCTTAAGAATTAGAGTAGGGTTTTGGGGGTTCCGTTTAAGGGTTCCTTTAAGGGCTACTATAAGGGTTTAGGGGCCCTTAATTAGAGTAGGGTTTTGGGGCGCATTGCACAATAATTATAATAAGGAACCCCCCAAAATTGTATAGGTAAGTATCTGGGCCCCTACATTCGGGTTTTTTTTTTGAGACTCGGACCCGGACAAGCATGGCAAGGTCTGCCGCGATACTGGGTCAACGATCATGAACGACGGACCCGGCACATATAACCAAGTACATCAAAGCACTGTCAAAGTACTGTCAGGCTTAGGGTTTAGGGTTGAAGGTCCAGGGATTCCACCAAGCTGCTTTCGGAGGAAGGGGTCGCCAAAGATGAAGAGTGGCCCATTCGGGGGCGGGACATCCAAACCTGGGGTAGGATTCAGGATCTTTTTGCCGACTATGTGGCTGCCTACTACATGATCAAACTGGCGTTTTGGAGCCTTTTGCACGTCTTGGCCTGATGCATTCATTCCCCTTCGCGAGGCCTTGAAGGTCATGAGGGCTGAGGGCCCGAAACCTTGCTCCGAGACCCTTGACTGCATCAGGACAACCCGAAAACTCCCGACAAGCTCTGCTAACCCCCGCTTTTTTCCATGGTGCCAGGAGACTCATCAGGGAGAGGGAGCAGTACCCGCCACTATTGTCCACGTACTCGGCGGGCTTCAGGTTCATGACCTCCATAACATCAGCGTGCCAGGTAGAAAGCAAAGGCATGAAGCTGCAGCAGCCGCATGGGAGATGCATGAAGATCCGAAATGCAGGCCCGGCATGGTTGAATGGTCAGAAAGGCGTGAGACGAATGCAAACAAAATCTCGGATGACTCCTTGCACGATCACCGCCGCAGACGCTATCGGCTCCATGCTGCAGCAACCCAACAGTACGTCGCAGCCCAAACTGGAACGCAAACCGCTCGCCACGCTTTGAAGAGGCCCAGTGGCATGCCCAGACACGATGAAGCCGAGATCTGGCAAGTCGTCGTAGTTCGAGCCTCGGACCGGGCAAGGCGTTTGTTGTCGAATCCTTTGCGTCCGCCTGTTGCGGAGGTTTTTGGGCTCTGGGCTTTCATGTTTCTTGGAACTCAGGATTCAGCGAGAAGCTTACGGGCGAAGACCTTCGCGTCGGGGTTCGGGTAAAGGGCAGGTGCGACACCAAGGAGCAACAGCGGTAGATGCAAGGATGGGTACGAGGAGAAGTCTTCAACAACCGTCACGGCATTTCTTTGGCAAAGAATCAGGCCAATAGCTAAGATCACCATTGCCGTTGTCGCAACGGTATCAAAAAGAACGTAGTAGCCATCGACAGCTCGATTACCAACAATGCCGTTACTACCACAATCGCCATGGCATGTCGAAGTGCTTGAATTTGATGAGGTTCCGAGATTTTGTGGAGTGCTTGCGGGTCGGGGTGTTCAGTCTCCTCTTGTTGCTTGCTGCCAGCGCGCTACGGTTTTTGCTGTTGTTGCTGTTGTTGGTCTCTGTCGCGTCAATGTCAAGGTAGAAAACTTAAGTGTTATTTCGTTCCTTCTTCTCTTGAGTCATGTTCTGGCCATTCGGGCAGATCCGCACATGGTGCTTTTGTTTAGAACGAGCTCCTCTGCTGTTGCTTGCTGTCCCGTGCCTTTCAGCCTGGGTGCCTGGATCCGAGAATCGGCTCGTGTTATCATCGAAACAAGCCAAAAGGCAAAAGGTGGCGATTCGGCTTCTTGCAGAAACCTCGTCATCATGATGTTCTACAAAACTGCTCGTTCATGAGGTTTCGGTGCAGGTGAGACAGGCACTCGAGTTTTAATGGGAACTCCGAGAAGTGGATGCATTGTTTTCAAAGTGCGAGATGGGGAGTTTCATGAGGCCTTGACAGCCCTTGTGAACTCAGATATGTCGTGGCGATACGTGCCTCGAAGCAGAACTTGTTGTTTTTCATCGCTGCTCGAATTCGTCGTGGCTCAGAGCCATTGGCGAGACAATGCATTCGCATGGGTGTTGATCTCATCGGCGTCGACAGCAACAAGCACAAGCAGACTCCTCTGTTCTATGCAGCAGCACGAAGCAAGATCACAATGCTGAAATTCCTTCTGAACTATGGACTTGAAGCTAACTTCGCGCATCGACGGATCGAGACGGCAATTCTCTCTGCAACTCGAAACAGACATTCTGACGTTTTGAGATTGCCGATAGAGCACGGGGCCAACCTTGACGCGAAGTCCGACTTGGGTGCGACATGTTGTGCGGTCAGTCCGAAAAGCCTCTCAGCTTGAACGGAAGCGAATCGCCGGACTGTGTCTGTCCGGGTGCCGCAATCAGAAGTCGCTTCGCACGCTGGGAGATTGGAGAAGAGGAGGATGAGCCGCTTATTGATGTGGACAAGGCCACTACATTACATTCATCGGCTCAAAATGATACTTGTTTCGTTTGTCAACGTGTCAGTGGATGCAAGAAGCGCCTTCGACGGTCCCAAAGAGAATTCGGGTGCGAAGCTGCCGGAGAATTCGTGAACGTGCCAGTAAAGGCTAGCCAAGCGCGGATGGAGAGTATTGAAAGGCTGGGAAGCTGCTCGCATCCTTCTTCGTCACCCTCTTAAAGGACAAGGACCATCGCCGGCCATGCTTACGCAACCGTTGATTCTGACCAAAGCAAGCTGGTGTAGGACAGTAGTCGGCGTCGTACTAGACATGACAACATTCAAGATTGCCCCATCTAGGAACCGCACAGTCGTGGCGAACTTTGAGTCGGGCTGTCAGAGCCTGACAAAAGTCCCGCTTACGTCTTTTGTGGCACATATCGCCAGCAGGCAGGCACACCTGTAGAGAGAGAAAGGAAACAGTAGATGCAGACACACACACACACACACGGACGGCTTTCCCAAGCCAGGGCGCATCAATCACGTGGCTAGGTCCTGCCAACATCGAGGTGCCGGTGTCCACTGCCACCTGGCCTGAGATAGTGGGTTGGTTGTTGCAACCTTATCGATGAGCACCAAATAAACTACAATGTGCAGGGGCCTTCCTAAGGAACCGAAATTTTCAGCAACCTCTAGTGTGAGCGTAATGCTCCAGAATATACTTTGCCTGTGTGCGAGCTAGCGGCAGTCTGAGCACAGACTCTGCCTTTCGTTGTTGAAAGCGATGTCCTCCATCTGCACCTGCAGCCAAGCATGTCGACAATCTTCTGGGACGCCCGCCCCAAGCCCATCCAAAAAGGTGGCGCCGGACAGCAAAAGCTGTGGTATCTACAATCCGACTGGCAGCTGTTCCCATGCGCACCTGCCAGTAGCCGGTGTGCCTGGAGACCGGCACCCAAAACATCTGGCCAACCATGCGCTCCTGCTTGATGTCGCCGAACCTCATAATCAGCACCATGTGATCAGACAGGTCTGCCACTTTCCAAGGAAATATCATCAACGATCGCCCCATGCACTGACACCTTCTTGTCTGTGCCGAGACGCGTGATCTCCGAGTCCTCGTCATCCGAATCCGACAAGAACACGGAGAACAAGGCATGCTTCAGGTTGCCCGCCGCTTCCATGCCTTGGATGCGGGGCTTGAGTTGCAGGCTTCCAGACAAGGAAACTCAGGCCTCCCTCCCTCCCTCTCTTTCTTAAGGCTTTGGGCTTCATTCTAGTAGAAATATTAGAATGAAGAACCCCCACGAAGAATCTTGGTAATTCCTTCTCTTCACTTCGCTTCATTACTCTCTCTGCCGCGCCATCATCAAGAGTTACTTGGAGGATCATGGGACTTAGTAAGTAAGGTTATAAGTACCCTAATTGGGGCTATAGTTATAGTTACCTTATTCATAACGCTAGTTACTAAGTCCCATGATCCTCCAAGCCTAAACCCTAAACCCTAAACCCTAAACCCTAAACCCTGAACCCTTCTACATTGCAGTTCACACTGCACGACGTCGCTCTCGGCCGGGCCGCGGTTCATGAGGCTGAAGTTGGGGCCCTGGGTCATTCCAGACAGAGCCAGGCCGAGGACACCATCGAAGTTGAAGGACCCAAAGGGCTCCTTTAGTTTAGGGTTTAGGGTTTAGGGTTTTTGTTTTAGGGTTTAGGGTTGCGTTATTAATACGATTACTACTCTTTGCTATAGTTGCTCTCCTCACGACTACTGCAATTACTACTGTTTTACTATTGTTACTATTGCTACTATCTGGCACAAGTGGCTCCATTCTATATGGTATCTGTCCTAATCAGTGGCCGACCAATGCAACATGATGTGCAGACCGCCACTTGCACATGGACTACATGGGACCGTATGTATGAGTACATAATGTACATGCACATGCTGGCATGCATCAACACCGTTGTTCGCACACCATGCTTGGACCGGGTACGTCCCGTGCATGACCATGTTTGCACGAGCGGAGGTGTGCAGAAACGGAAAGTCGCTTCTATGTTCACAAGTATCAGCACATGCCTAAATCTGTTCGTGTGAATTCTGCTGGGAAGCGAAAGCAACTTTTGCAAAAAATTGGTACATTCTGGGGTTGCGTTTGGTGACGTAGTCTTTGACGCTGCGGGAGATGTACCGAATTACGAACCGTATCGCGCAGGTCAAACATTGCATAACCATATCACCACACCCTGAAACAAAACGGAAGCATGGGATACGCTACCTGCTCGTTCTACAACACGGGCCCATGCTTAGTGGGAATGCTGGAACCAAGGCTTGCGAATGCAGCCCACAGCATTTCCTCGGTTTCGTGGGAAGCACCGATGAACTCCATGTTCGCGCAGAGATTGCCGATGCAAACATCATCTTTCAAGAAGACGCCCGTGATCCTGAGAGTTTATTCACACACATCCATGCACCGCTACAAACTCAGGGGTCACTGTCGATTCTAAGCTTGACGCTGTGTCTTGTTCGATTTTCATTCTTGGACCCAAGCCGCTCCCCCGTGCCGAATGTGACGGTTAGCTGGTCCCGCGAATCGAAGGCGCCAGCCGGCTGTCCGTTCGACTGCATGTTCCTGGGCTTTAGGGCTTTTAGGGTTTAGGCTTTAGGGGTTTTTTGGGTGTAGGGTTTGGGGCTTTGGGTTGAAGGCTATAGGAAACGTTTGACCCTCCCAATGTCGGTCAGGGTTTCGGGCTCTGCGGACGAGACGGGATGTTGCGCCAGGGCTACTGCGGCATGTTCCTACGTAGGATCGGAGTTTAATGTGGCTCAAGGTTTTCCTGGGCTTTGCGTTTGTATCCTCCTGGCTTAAAGGATGATTTCGACTTCGGGGTTCTCTCGTTTCGGCGAACCAAAGTCTACAAACAAAGTCTGCTCCAATGTTGCAAACCGATACACTGGCGTTTAGGCTTTTAGGGGCTACGAGCAGGTGGGCGATGAGCCTTGTTTCAACCGACATGCCAAAAGCGATGCTAAGTGCCAAACTCGCGGAATCAAGCACAAAAGAAGCGAAATACCAACATAGAAAGGAGTCACAAGGAGAGGGCAGTGAAACCATTCAATCAGCAAAAGCGGTTCAGGACCTGCAGGTTTCGGAAACTTTTCAAGATCCCCTATGAAGTCTGCCCGAGCCACACCACGGTCTTGGACAAGGACGGGTCGAAACGCTTGTGCCTAGCAGGGAAATCCAATTTGCATCGACGAAAACCCATCACCTAGTTAATGCTCATGGGAACTACATGGAAATACAACTCGAACCCGGCAGTGCAAAAGCCTCTCGCAGGCGCCGTCCGTGCATAGTGTGGATGGGACCATCAGGTTCCCACTGCCTTCAAAACAAGAGAAGCCGGACTTGATTGAAGTGGGGTGACGCATCTACATTGTTGCTTGTATACAAGTCCGTGGCTTCTCGAGGGCAGGGACGGTTTAAAAGACCCTATTTCCACTTCACATTCAACCGTGGTCTTTGTGCCGATTCGCTTGTTTCCTCTAGTCCGCGTTCATCCGACTTTCTCTCCGGGCACAGGCATGGAAAGGCCAGAAAGGAAGCAGTGTCGCCGGGCCTGTGTCGAACACGACAGTTATGGTCTGCGCCGGCTTGCCAATGTGGATGTTACCGTAATACCTCGAGCAGCCATCCAAACAGAGGCCTGCCGGAAACCTCGCTACATCCAGGTCTCAACCCTCTCAGTCTCATCATTGCAGCATACACCTTTTATCCTATGGCCATGCATGGTCTTTGAAAGTGGCCTGCAGCTGTTTCTCTTGCCTCAGCCTCAAAAAATGCTGAATGTTCGGGTCAGTTCTGGCTTTGGGGTTCTTAGGTTTGTTCTCCCTGAGGCAGGATCTGGAGCTGAGGGTCTGAGGGTCTGGATATCTTGGTCGTCCAACGCCAAGCGGCGCTGTCTTGTGGACCACGCGGCTGAAGGCATCGTTCTTGCCCTTCATGGCGGCCTTGATGTGCTGCATTTTCTCGGATGCCGAAATGTTGGCACGCTTCAGGATCACCTCAATGCAGCACACGGAGACGCAACAACCACAGACAACAAAACGTTTTCCATGTGGACGAGCCGCGGGCTGTTACGTTAGAGCATGATGGCTGGGTCGCTGGCTGTAGATTGCATCTGCTTACGCTTGTTGCCTACGCCCCATGCATCCTCAATCGTATCGTCGGAACGAGGGATTGTGCACATAGTGAAAACGGGACTGGGAAGTTGAAGTGTAGTCATGGCCAAAACATTTCTTTGGCGGACGAGGTTGGCGTTGGCTCTGAACATCCGGCTGGGGGCTTAATATAGGGGCCTTAATACTTAGAATCGGGTTTTGGGGGTTCCTTGTTATACTTATATAGTATCTTATAGTATAATATACCCCCCAACCCTATTCTAATCATTAAGGCCCCTGTATTAAGGGTGTTAATCTTGATTTTTTTATGGCACACACGCGCACACCTCTTTTACGTCCGTCCACCTCGCGGTCACGGTGCACATGCTGTTTACATCCTGCTCGATTATGCCTCACTGGACTGTGCCGTGTTCCAAGGCATGCGACACTGAACGGCAACAGCAACATCTTGAGGAAGCCAGAAACACATCCCACAAAAGGGCAACACGACTCCCAAACAGTTGTGCAAAGGAGAATACGCACCGTCAAGAATGAACGTCGGCAATCCTTGCCTTCAGATCCTGCCCAAGCGCTTTTCAAATGAGGGATCCCAAGCAACACACCCTAAAAACAGCATCTGCCAGGGGGCCGAATGCGAGGATCGCAAACCTGTCCGTGCAGTGGCCTCTCCCGCTTGCAGGGATGAATCCGATGACATTCGGCTATTGGCCGCATTGGCATTCGTGCCTGGGGTTCGCAGGAATCGCAAATAGGTCCGGGCAGACTAACATAATAGTCTATGTGTAATCAGCTTCTTCGGCATGATTCTCTTGTTAATTTCTTGTCTTTAAAGTATACGAATACGGCTGTGTTTCGCACGGGCTCTACCCTCGTGACAACATGTGACAACCAGTTTCTGCACCAAACTGTACTGCATATTTTCCCGCGCTTGTTCACGACTGCGAGGGCGCAGTTTTGTATATTCAGGCAAGCCACCGACTGCCAGCACAGTGCTGCAAATGGCAAGCCTGCAACAGCTACCGCACTGGTAAAGCTTGCAAATCCCTCGCTGACTTTGCATGTCGACACAGCCGCTGACCAGAACAGGCAACCAAGGCACGCAACCGAGAAAAGAGTCACTGATGCGCGGCCCATGGCGAACTACAATGGTCGGATAACCCAAGCACAAATGCTTGGCTTGCTAGGTCGGAACGCGCGTTTTCTCGGCAGCGTCCTTGCCCAGCTTTTTGAGCCGAATGTGACGGGGAACCGGGCTGGCATTTTTCGATCCAACAAGGACGCATGCATGGTGATCCTGATGAGTCTGTTTCGCTTCCATGGGCGTAATCGGAAAAATGCAGTAACATATGATAAAGTGTATTGAGTATAAACTTGTAACTTTAGTTCGAGCAGAAGCTTAGAAAATGTGACACCGCCATGCACCCTGAAACCGAACACCCCCAATACAAACCCTCATTTCAACACCCAACAGCTCACTGTTACGGGGTTAGAGCTTCTTCTATTTTCCATCGGTACGTTCATAGCATCGATGCGCGGCAAAGTCCTTGCAATCACCTGTTTCCGCCCTGAAAAGTGGTCCCGAGAGAGCCATGAAACAAATCATCCCGTCGGGCATTTCAACTGTTGACAGCTGGAACACTGGTCCCGAGAGAGCTATGAAACAGATCATCCCGTCGGGCAATCTGTTTGCGCCTTTACCAGCGGTCCTGGGAGAGCTATGACACAGATTGTTCCGTCGGGCATCTCAACTGTTTACGCCTCGTAAAGCATGACACAGATTGTTCCGTCGGGCATTTCAGCTGTTTACGCCTTGAACAGCGGTCCCGACAGAGCTATATGAAACAAATGTTTTCCCTGGGGCGCTTGAGTTTCGGAAACCGTGGTCCCGAAGGAGCTATGGAAAAGATCATTCCGTGGGGCGCTTGGACTGTTTTTGCAACAAACACCGGTCCGAAGGAGCTATGAAACAACCACTTGCAAGACTTGGAGTCGTTGGAACCGCTCGCTGAAGCGGCCACAAACCTCGCGCAGGCCACCGTCCCAGCCGATGTCACCGCCGGCTTGGCCTCTGCGTAAACCTGACGGAGGGGTGCGCGGCATATCAACCGGCGACGTGTTTCGCCGCCTCGTGGCGCGAGCTTTGGCCAAGGAGTGGGCTCCTGTTCGCGCTCCAGGCCCGTGCAGGAACGGATGCGCTCGTGCGTGCTGCTCTGTCGTTGCGGCCAGGCGCGGTCCTCGTGTCGCTTGATGGCCGCAGTGCCTACGACTCCATGTCCCGCATAGTTTTTTTTTTCAACGCACCTTTTTCCCGCAGAACTGGTCTCGGCGGCTACCTCTACCTACACCCGCGGACGTTCAGCATAGCTTTCCTCAGCAAGTTACGCGAAGTCGCACCAGAGCTGCTCCCCTTCGTGCGGCTGTGTTGCAGGCGACCCTCCAGCTATTGCTGGTGGGACGCCGCAGCAACATGCCGAGCCGTGCCGCAAGGCAAAGGTTGCGAGCAGGGCGATGCGCTTGCCCCAGCGCTGTTCGCCCTGGGACGAACTGGGTCGGGGTCGCAGTTGAGACAGTCAACGGTTTGCATATCCTTACAACAGGTTGAACGGGGCTCGCAAGGCATCGCGGGAATGACCACAGGGCTGTGTTCCTGTTCTACAAAAGCTCGTGTGCTTACATCAAAGTATCTTCAAAGACACCTAATGCACCCTTTATATGATCCCGTTTTACGTCTGCACACGAGTCCTGCCAGTCATTAGAGGGTGGCGCCAGCCATTCTAATGGCTAGCGGGAAGGGCGTTCCGCCTACTGCTGGAGCAGCTGGAGCCATTAACGGGGACAGGTGATACCGCAACGGCAACACAACAGAACATAGCCGTGCTCCTGGCAATTAATAACCAGGAGGCCGTAGAGGACGGAGCAGGCCGAGATGCCCGTTGTGATTGGAAGCTAGTGAGCGAAAATTTCTGCACAAAGCAGGCTGGCCCCTGCCCCAACTGGCGCGTCCTGTTGGAAGGGGCGCACCTGCCCCCGGGCAGACGACGGAGATTGGCCTACCGGCGCGACACGAAACCTCAACACACACGTCTGCGAGCCGTGCTGCTCAGACATCTGAGAAATGCTGCCCAGTTCCCGGCCCAAGCCCGACCCCATCCCAGGAGAGGCAACGCCACCGCCCGTCGACGGCCTTTAAATACTGTGGCAACGCCTGCGAGCGCTGGCCGTTCAAGGGCTGGTAGCGATTCGCTGTCCACGCTTGCCACAGGCGCGCATGCGAGATGCAGCTTTCTGACCTCACACCCGCATCTCTTGCGCTGTGTCTGTCTTAGGCTGGGCCTTTCGCCGCCCGTGTTTTCGACGTCATGTCCACGCGGGCCGCGGGATCACGTGACCAGGCCCAGATCGTTGTTTCGCGCTCTGCTACATGCTCGCGCTGTGCAGATGCAGCCGCCTGGAGCAGCTCGGCCCGCTCTGGTTCGGCCGCAACGTCCGGCTCGCAGACATGAGTGTCGATGTGCCGATGCCCGATGCACGGCGTATCGAGGTTGTCGCGAACGGCCTCCCATTTTGGCACGGGTCCCCGGCGCCAATGTCGAGCCCGGCTGCGCTGTCGCTGCTGCAGCGCGCCGCAAGCGACATCAAACCTACCCCCGAGCTCGCCAGCGCCCGGCGATCCCGCTTCCCCACTGTCGGCGTAGACCGCAGGCTTTATCTTTCCACGCCTTTTTCCGCAACTCGAAGAATCCTTGAAACTGTCCCGTCTCTTACTCGTATCATCTCCTACTCCTATGCGAGTTGTGTCTGGCGCCAAATGGCCCGCCAGAAGCTCCCCTGTAGCGGACCTCGTGGCCAATGGCCCGGCATTGGGCAACTCGAGACGCGAGCAGGCGTGTGCACGTCGGGCGGCGAAAAATGCAAATAACGCAGTCCACCGGTGCATCATTGCTTGCCGCGCCCCTGCAGCGCACCATGGCGCCTTCTGGCAAGCCCGGAAACAGGTGCGGAAGAAGTGCTGGCAGTCGTCAATCCAGCGGCCCCCAGCTTCCCACGGCCAGCACCACGAGGCGCTGCAGCCCCACGCGAATGAGTTCCTAGTGTCGTTCGCTGCTGCAAGATGCCTCAAGCGCGACCCCCACCCGCGTGTCGACCTGAATCTACGAATCTGCGCGGGGGCAGGCCTCTGCGCGGGCGGGGAAGGTGGTCGTTTTCGGTACATGCAGCAAACTCAGCCAAGCAGTCCGCGCCATGGTGCAGCTTCGAAAGGGGCAATGGCAGCCGTAAGCGGGCGGTTTACTTCAGGCCCGAAGACCGACGATGACGCCGACGAGATCTGACTGACGGCCAGCTGCCGGTTGCATGTCATGGTTCTGGACCCACCTGATCCAGCCAGCCTCGATCGGCCTCGTGTTTTTCGAACCGTATGTAGCAATCTTGCGCAGACCACAGTTGCCGCGGGGGAGAATCGCAGGATGCACTATGATCCAATGGAGGTGCCACGTCGGTCGGAGCTCTTCACGACATTGTCCGGAATTTAAGGTTTTTTATCTTTTTACTATTTTTTCTGTTTTCTTGCGTCAGCCGAGAAAGGTCCGCGTCAGCAGCTACAGCCTAGCTACAGTACGGCCCAGAGGGAGGAGCGACCAAGGGCAGGCCGCAGCCACGAGGCTTGGACTAGGCTCCGGCACGGGTCCGCCGCAGTAGGACTCAGCAGGCGGCAGCTCCAGCAAAAATATGCAAAAAGGCGGCGTAAGCGCGCGGGGCAGCGACGGCTAGGAGCCGGACCAGCACGCGACCCAGGCAGTGATCGCTGCCCTGAACAGCCGCCCAGAAACTCAGAGCTCAGAGGCAAGGCCAGAATATATACACACGTGCTACTACAGAGCTCTAAGCCCTCGAGCAACGATCTTTGAGCTTGGCAAATGCCGGCCACGAAAGATATATGCGCAAAGTTGGAGGCGCGACCACTCGGGGCGAACAGCAGATTCAGAAGCAAATCATCAGAAAGCGACTCGATGTCAATGAAGCCTAAGCTTTGCAAACGGTTCAACCACACGTTCCTCCGGTGAAGGAACAGAGGGCAGTCCCATACGAGTAATGCGTGACGTCGGCTCCGTTCATCGGGGTTGGAGTGACGTAAACCACTGTGGCGAGCAGCGCGCCCATCAATGAAGGGATGATTGCTACATCGAGCACGTGTCCACTCCCTTACCATATGCGTTGGCAATCTGGAAGAATGAATATCTGAACGAAAGTTGAGGCAAGGGGAGACCGTCGTGGCGTGTCGTGACGTGATGCGGCGGGAGCAAAAAATAAAGCAAGTTTGGACACTGGTCATGGTCGAGTCCCAGAACTTTTGCCAGCTACGAGATGGGTTGTGCCGTATTCCTTGACTGGCAGATTCCGGCCAAAGCTGGGTCGTGCTGACGCCCGTGCTGGCAGCAGGTTTGCGATGGCTGGTGGAAGCGGCCGGGCACGCGGTGCCGGCAGCCGCGCAGCTCCCAACAGGGTGCCGCGAGGCTGCCATGCACGCTCTCCTAACTTGTGCGGTGGCCGCTACTTTGCGCCCGGATGGGGGCCCTGTTCGCACTATTGGGGCTGGTTGTGTGTTGGCCTGCTTCTCGGCATGCTTGTGGCGGAGGCAGCAGGGCAAACACCAACGGAACTGCTCTGCAGCATTCTGCGACAAGCGACGGCGACGCC